AGGAGGGAAGGGGAGGGGAGCGGGGAAGGGGAGAGGGGGAGGGGGAGGGGCAGCGGTGAGGGAGTGGGCAGTGGAGGGGTTGGGAGGGGCAGTGGAGCTCCCGGGGAAGTGGGGAGAAGCCCGCCCCTCCCCTGCCCCGCTGACCCCTGCGCCCGCCCCAACAGCCGCATCCTGGAGACCTACTGGGAAAGCAATAACGACTTTCTAACCAAGAAGTCCCTGTCGCAGGTCAAGTTGGCCTTGGTCATTAACGGAGACTTCCTGGTCAGTGTCGCTCAGGGTGGATGGTGGGGTCCCGGCGCCAGGGAGGGGCCTGGAGGGGCAGCGGGCTCGGGGTGGGGGCCTCAAAGGGCCCCGGGGTGGGGGCTGCTGGCAAGGCCGAGGGCCGGGCAGGGTCCAGGCTGGACTGGAGGCCGCGGCGCCTGGCACAATCCCCTCCCCGCCGGCCAGGACAAGCTGCTGGTGTCCCTGCGGAAGGAGCCGCGCGCCCTGGTGCAGAACGTGAACATGGACGAGGCGTGGCAGGAGCCCGGCCAGTCCAGGAGGGATTTCCTCTACGCCAGGCGCCTGTCCCTGCTGTGCCGGAGGTTCGGGCTCCCACTGGCCGCGCCGCCGGCCGAGGATTCGGCCGAGGATTCCGGAGCTCGCCGTCGGTCCGAGGTGCTGCAGGAGCGCGCCTTCGTGGACCTGGCGTCCAACTGCCAGGCGGTCATCTGCTGCCGCGTGACGCCCAAGCAGAAGGCCCTGATCGTGGCCCTGGTCAAGAAGTACCACCAGGTGGTGACCCTGGCCATCGGGGACGGCGCCAACGACGTCAACATGATTAAGAGTGGGTGGTGGCGGCAGGGCTGGGGGTGCCCGGGGCGAGTGGGGGCGGCTGATGGAGGTGGCGGTGGGACTGGGGGGACCTGAGGCTGGTGGGGGGTGCTGATGAGGGACGGAACGATGGGGAGGTCTGGGGGCGTGTGAGGGGCTGACCCGCTGCCTGTGCCCCGCAGCCGCGGACGTGGGCGTGGGGCTGGCCGGCCAGGAGGGCATGCAGGCTGTTCAGAACAGCGACTTCGTGCTGGGCCAGTTCTGCTTCCTGCAGCGCCTCCTGCTGGTGCACGGCCGCTGGTCCTACGTGCGGATCTGCAAGTTCCTGCGCTACTTCTTCTATAAGACCATGGCCAGCATGATGGTGCAAGTCTGGTTCGCCTGCTACAATGGCTTCACTGCCCAGGTGCGTCCCCCGGCCTGGCTGCCCCATCCATGACCAGGGCCTCTGGGGATGTCGTGCCCCTCCCATAGCTGCTAGGAGCAGCACTGGGCACACTGAGAACCCCGGAATCCTCGGTGGGCAGGGCTTGCCTGAGGCCACATGGCAAGGCTGCATTAGTGGAGGCCTAGAGTCCAGGTGAAGGGAAGTGATGGTCCCTGTCTAGCTCTGTGCCCAACAACTTCCAGGATATTTGTTTTGTTTTGTTTGAGACAGAGTCTCTCTCTGTCACCCAGGTTGGAGTGCAAATGGCACGATCTGGGCTCACTGCAGCCTCCACTCCTGGGTTCAGGTGATTCTCCTGCCTCCACCTCCCGAGTAGCTGGGATTACAGGCGTTGTACCATCAGGCCTGGCTAATTTTTGTATTTTTAGTAGAGACGGGGTTTCACCATGTTGGCCAGGCTGGTCTCGAACTCCTGACCTCAGGTGACCTGCCCACTCCAGCCTCCCAAAGTATTGGGATTACAGGCGTGAGCCACCGTGCCGGGCACACTCAGAGCTTTCAAGCAAGGGCAGGCACTGCACATGGACCTCCCCTTCTGGGGACAGTTGAGGGAACAAGACCTTGAACCCCAGAGAAGATCCGATGTGGGAGCTGGCGCTCCACTCAAGACTCTGAGCGGTATCATGACAAGGACTAGAAGAGGCCCAGGGCAGTGCTGTTCCCTGCGTGTAGGGAAGCTGTTGGGAGTCAGGTGCCTTTGAGAAGGAATGAGCCCCCATCACTAATACCTGGGCATTTGAGAGAGAGTTTTACGGAAACCCCTTAGTAAGTATATATTGGTTTCTGTTTTATTTTTATTATTATTATTTTTTGAGGCAGAGTCTCGCTCTGTTGCCCAGGCTGGAGTGCAGTGACACAATCTTGGCTCACTGCAACCTCCGCCTCCCGGGTTCAAGCGATCCTCCTGCCTCAGCCCCCCAGTGGCTGAGATTACAGGCGCCTGCCACCAAAACCAGCTAATTTTTGTATTTTTAGTAGAGACAGGGTTTTGCCATGTTGGCCAATCTGGTCTTGAACTCCTGATCTTGTGATCTGCCCACCTCAGCCTCCCAAAGTGTTGGGATTACAGGCATGAGCAATCACACCCAGCCTTTTTTTTTTCTTTTTTAGGCAGAGTTTCACGCTTGTTGCCCAGGCTGGAGTGCAATGGTGTGATCTCGGCTCAGTGCAACCTCCATCTCCTGGGTTCAAGCGATTCTCCTGTCTCAGCCGCCCGAGTAGCTGGGATTACAGGAGCCCACCACCACACCCAGCTAATTTTTATATTTTTAGTAGAGATGGGGTTTCACCATGTTGGCCAGGCTGGTCTCAAACTCCTGGCCTCAAGTGATCTGCCCGCCTCAGCCTTCCAAAGTGCTGAGATTACAGGCATGAGCCACCGTGCCTGGCCTGTATCTTTTTTGAGGCCATCCAATTAAAACAAAAACTCAGAGGTGCCGTTATGAGGGAATTTGATCATGCTTTCCTCCCTCCCTTTATCTTCCCACCTTTATCAGTCCACACTTCACCCCACCCCAGTCCCAGCCCCAACCTTGAGTGTAACTCGACTTTCTACCTCACCCAGAACCCTCCCTGGGTGCCCGCTTGGCAGGCTCCTTGGGTGTCTGGAGGCTGACTTGTTCTTCTTGCCCTTCTCTCCCGGCTCAGCCCCTGTATGAAGGATGGTTCCTGGCTCTTTTTAACCTCCTGTACAGCACCCTGCCAGTTCTCTACATTGGGCTCTTTGAGCAGGTGAGCAGGGCAGGGCTGGGTCCTCCTTTCAGGTCTCTGCTCAGCCTCTCCTCCTCACCTCTGCTCCTTGGGGAGAGGGGGGCTGGGAGACCTTCAGGCCATGGGGTGGGGCTCAGGGGGTGCAGTCCAGTACCTCTCCCTACCCACTGCCATTGGCCTCCTCCCCCTGGAGCCTATGCTCATCCTGGGGCCGTCCAGCTCCTCCTGTGTGTGGGAGCCCCCACCCTGTGCAGGAGCCCCTGGGCCTCTGTCTACCCATCCATGCAATGGGGAGAGGGGATCAGAGCAGATGACTCTGCTAGGTTTACCATCCCCTAGCTCCAAGAGGCCCCAGCTATGCGATCTGGAGCTGGGAGGGTGGGTCGCATGGAACGTTCCAGACGATGGAAGTGTCCCACACCTATGCAATCCAGCACCGAAGCCGGCAGCCACATGTGCCCAGTGAGGAACGCTTGTGCTGCGGCCGATGTGACCCAGGGACCGGATTTTACATCTCATTTCATGTTTGCTAGAACCGTTTTTTTTTTTTTTTAAGCTCGCAACAGAATCTCGCTCTGTTGCCCAGGCTGGAGTGCAGTGGCACAGTCTCAGCTCACTGCAACCTGTGCCTTCCGGGTTCAAGTGATTCTCCTGCCTCAGCCTCCCAGGTAGCTGGGATTACAGGCGTGCACCACCGTGCCCGGCTAATTTTTTTTATTTTTAGTAGAGATAGGATTTCACCATGTTGGCCAGGCTGGTCTCGAACTCCTGACCTCAGGTGATCCCTCCACCTTGGCCTCCCCAAGTGCTGGGATTATAGGCATGAGCCACCGTGCCCGGCCTTGCTGACATCTTTAACTGTGGTGGAATACAAATCATGTAAACTACCCTGTCTCAGCCAGACTCATGCATACAGCTCAGCAGCACCCAGTGCATTCGTGTGGCCACGTGACCAACCTCCAGGGCTCTTTCCATTGCATTTTATTTTATTCTGTAGATGAGATCCCATTCTCTCACCCAGGCTGGAGTGCAGTGGTGCAATCACAGCTCACTGCAGCCTCCACTCCTGGGCTCAAATGATCCTCCTGCCTCAGCCTCCCAAGTAAATGAGATTACAGGTGCCCACCACCACACCCGGCCACTTTAAAAGGTTTTTTTTAGAAATGGGAGGTCTCACTATGTTGTCCAGGCTGGTCTCAAACTCCTGGCCTTAAGCGATCCTCCCACCTTGACCTCCTAAAGTGCTGAGATTACAGGCATGTGCCACCGTGCCTGGCCTTCCCTGGTTTTAATTCGCTTAAACTGAAAGAGCCGCACACAGAGAGTGGCCACCCTACTGGCCTGCCCAAGGAGGTCCTGATCTCTGTTGGGGGTTCCCCATCCCCCACAATCCCAAGAGCTTCCCCTTGCCCCCAGGACGTGAGCGCGGAGCAGAGTCTGGAGCAGCCGGAGCTGTACTTGGCGGGGCAGAAGGACGAGCTCTTCAACTACTGGGTCTTCGTCCAAGCCGTCGCCCACGGCGTGGCCACCTCTCTGGTCAACTTCTTCATGACGCTGTGGATCAGCCGCGACACGGCGGGACCTGCCAGCTTCAGCGACCACCAGTCCTTTGCGGTCGTGGTGGCCTTGTCCGGCCTGCTGTCCATCACCGTGGAGGTGGGCAAGGTCCTCACCTCCCCGGGGCCTTGGACACGGCCTATGGAGGCCTCCTCCCCCGGGGACCACTGCTTTGGGGGCCTTGCTGGGTGCCCTCCCTGGACCCTAGGGGCGGGTGTCCTGGTGCAAGCTCCGCCGGGCCCCGGATTTACCCCATGCTGCCTGTCCAGGTCATTGTTATCATCAAGTACTGGACTGTCCTGTGCGTGGTGACCATCGTTCTCAGCCTGGGTTTCTACACCATCATGACCACCATCACCCAGAGCTTGTGGCTCTTCAGAGTATCCCCCAAGACCTTCCCGTTTCTGTGTGAGCCCCCGTGGGGAAGTGTGATGGGCGGTCGTGGTGCCGGGGGTCCCTGATGGAAGAGGTGGCAGGTTGCTCATGACAGTCGTCCGGCAAAGTGTCCCGGGGAACGGGCTCCTTTATAAACCAGGCACAAAGGCACCAGGGCGCTCTGTGGCTGGGGGCGTCTTCGGGGCTGGGGGCAGGGAAGGCGGCACAGGCTCCCAGCAGGCTCTGCTGTGACCCCGCCCTGCCCCCAGACGCTGACCGCAGTGTGCTGTCCTCCCCCTCCGTCCTGCTGGTGGTCCTGCTGAGCGTGTCCGTAAACACCTTCCCTGTCCTGGCCCTCCGGGTCATCTTCCCAGCCCTCAAGAAGCTGCTCGCCAAGGTGAGGTGGGCCTGGGCCTGGGGTCCTCACCCGGTACATTCCAGGACCCTGGTGGGGGAGCCACGCAGGGTGTAGGGACTGCAAGGTGTCCCAGCCCCTCTCGGCCCTCCAAGACACTGGGCTGGGGGGAAGGGTGGGTGCGGAGCCCTGACATGTGCCCAGTGCCCCCGGGACCCGATTTCCCAAGAAGGGAGACCTCACTTCCCAGACAAAGCAGCAGAGAGCACCCAAAGGCCACCCTGGGTTCCAATGCTGATGCCATCGGACTCTTAAGGTTTTATTTATTTATTTATTTTTATTTTTTGAGAGCGGTCTTGTGCTGTCACCCAGACTGGAGTGCAGTGGCACAATCTCGGCTCGCTGCAACCTCCATCTCCTGGGTTCAAGCAATTCTCCTTCCTTAACCTCCCAAGCAGCTGGGATTACAGGCGCACACCACCACGTCCAGCTAATTTTTGTATTTTTAGTAGAGACGGTGTTTCATTATGTTGGCCAGGCTAGTCTCAAACTCCTGACCTCAAGTGATTCGCCCGCCTCAGCCTCCCAAACTGCTGGGATTATAGGAGTGAGCCACCGCGCCCAGCCTTAATGTTTCTATTTAATTAATTGATTTATTTAGAGATAGCGTCTCACTCTGTTGCCTAGGTGGGAGTGCAGTGGCGTGATCACGGCTCACTGAAGCCTCAACCTCCCAGGCTCAAGTGATCCTCCCACCTCAGCCTCCCAAGTAGCTGAGGTCACAGGCATGCACCACCATGCCCAGCTAATTTTCTAGCTTTTTTCTAGAGATGGAGTATCATTATGGTGCCCAGGCTGGTTCGAATTCCCGGGCTCACGCAATCCTCCTGCCTCGGCCTCAACATGTTGAGATTTCAGGCATGAGCCACACCGTGCCCAGCCGACACCATCAGATTCTACCCTGAATGATCCAGGGCTTGGGGATTGAGATGACAGAAACAACCTTGAAGTGGTTTAGGCAAAAGGAGGAACTTGGAAACAAGAGTCCGTTTACAGACGAGTGGGTCAACACAGCGTGCTCCATCCGTGCAATGAAACACGCCTGAGCCATGAGAAGGAGTGAGGCTCTGACAAAGGCCACAGCATGGATGCACCTTGAGGACATGTGCTCAAGGCTGGGCACAGAGGTTCACACCTGTAATCCCAGCACTTTGAGAGGCCGAAGCAGGTGGCTTGCTTGAGCCTATGAAGTTGAGGCTGCAGTGAGCTGTGATTTTGCCACTGCATTCCTATCTGAGCAACAGAGCAAGACCCCACCTCAAAGAAAAAAAAAAAAGGGAGGGAGACTTGCTAGCCCACGTAACCAAAACATATATGGAAAAGCAGGTTGCAGCTGAGATGGGCCCCAGAATGGACTGGAATGGTGTACCTGCCCTGCCACCTCTGTTCTCCCTGCCCAGCTCCTGCCACCTTTACTGCACAGGCTGGACACATGGCTGTTCCAGGCTCACCTCTCCTGGATTTGCCACTAAAGGGCAGCCAAGGCACCTGGTGGCTGGTCTAGAGTTAAGTCTCAGGGAAGGACTCTGATTGGCTGAGCCAGGGTTAGTTTCCAGGGCAAGGCCAATTAATGGGTCTTGAAAAGCAAAGGACTAGAGTCCTCCTTAGAACTCGACACTGGGAGTTGAGGACTCTAATTGGCTCAACTGGGTAGAGAAGAACCTAGCCAATCCATAGTGGCCAAGGGCTTTGAATCCTGCCTCTCCTCCTCGGGGGACAGGTCACTGGAGAGCCGTCAGCCAAGCGTAGAAGTCTGATTCCCCTGCTCTCCCCTTTGCTTTTCAGGAGGAGAAGGTGGAGGAGGGCCCGAGCGAGGAGATTTTGGCCGTGGAGCCCTTGCCTCATTTATACCGCGAGTCTCGCGCCCGGCGTTCCAGCTATGCCTTCTCCCACCGTGAGGGCTACGCAGACCTCATCACTCAGGGCACAATTCTGCGGAGGGGACCAGGGGTCAGCAGTGACATAGCATCTGAATCCATAGACCCATCTGATGAAGAGGCGTTTTCAAGCCCAAAGGAGTCGCACTGGCATCTCAGGAAGATGTCCTTCCTGGGGAGGAAGAAGCGCCAGTCACAGGGGCAGATGTCCTCCCTGGAAGCACAGCACTTCCCTACAGCTAGCTCCTCATTTTCTATGGATAGACAATCCGCTCTTTATTCAGAAAACCAGCTTGCCCTCCCCAGATACGTGCTTACCGGCACCAACAGGCTATCTGGGTCTTTCCAGGAGCAATTGCCAAGGGTACAGGAGAGGCCACTGTCACCCAAGCAGAGGCCATCTTCTCCTGAGAAGTTGCTGTTGACCAAGGAGAGGTCATATTCTCATCAGGAGAAACCGCCGTTGCACAGAGAAAGCCAGCTGTCATCTTCTGAGAGCCAGCCACAGCCTCTGGGGAGCCAGTCATTGCTTTCAGGCCAGCTGACATTGGAGAGCCACCCAGACTCCTCAGAGGAGAAGTCAGCATTTTTGAAGCCCTCCACACCGTTATGGAAGAGCTGGCAAAAGGAGCCCCTCACCCCCAAGGAGGGGACGGTGCCACTTCCAGACAAGACCCACGAATCTCAGGTGGAGACTCTGCCACCAAGTCTGGCGGAATCGTCCACGTCCACGAGCGAGCAGCCTATGGAGGTGGAGCCCTGGCCTGTGGAGAAGCAGTCATCATCATCCATGGAGTGGCTGCTGGTGCCCGGGGAGGAGCAGCCATCCTTGCCCCCAGAGGAGCAGTCATTGCCCTCTGCGGAGGGGACCAGGGGTCAGCAGTGACATAGCATCTGAATCCCTAGACCCATCTGATGAAGAGATGTCTTCGAGCCCAAAGGAGTCACGCTGGCATCTCAGGAAGATGTCCTTCCTGGGGAGGACGAAGCGCCAGCCAGTTCTGCTGCAAGTCAACCAGCATGCAGGGGGCCTCCCTCTAAAGACAGGGGCTCCACATGCTTTTCTTTTTCTAATAAACCAGGGACCATCTGACCCCAGCGCTAATTGAGGCTCACTCTTTCCCTACAGTTTTTTTGTGATGGAGTATTCCTTCCTGGTTTTTAAAATCAAAGCACTGACCTCTAGTGCTCTAGCTGGGTATTTGCAGGGAAAATTTTTCTTCTTCATACTGGGGTAAGATAATGTGGGTAAAGCTTCATTGCTCTCAAAAGTTGTTTATTAAAAGCTGTGGCTCCCCCACTGCCTGACAGCTGGCCCCTCCCAAGAAAGTTTATAAATTCCAGTTCTGGTACCATCTAGCTTCTTCGTCTATCGGGAAGCCCTGGTTTCTCCCCTTCAAATACACCTTCATTCGCTGGGGTCTCCGTTCACTTTAGACTCCAGAAAGCAGTGAGCAGTGATGTCACAGAAGCAGGTCCTGACAAGGTCTGCATCTTGGGGCTTGGTTGACTCAAAGGCACCAAGCTTTTCTTTCAAAGGCGCCAAGCTTTTCTTTCTGATTCTTAACCATTCCCTGTGGGTGGTGGAGCTGTGTGGGCGGTGGAGGCTCAGAGCAGGCTGCTGGCCCAGGAAGAAGATGGGACTCAAGAGCAGAGAGGGGCGAACTGGGTGGAAGCAAAGTCCCTCTTCCCTGCACTCCCGTCCTCCCGCCCCAGCCTTGAGGTGGGTGAGTTCCATTCCCGCCCCGCATCTGTGCCCGCATCTGTGCCGGACCCGTCGGCCAACACACACACCCAGATGAGTGACTAGAAAATAATTTATTGAAGAAAAGCAAATCAACAAACCCAGCACAGCAATGGTTAACAATGACGAGACTTTTTTTTTTTTTTTTTTAACTTTTAAGCCTGTCGCCCGAGGGTGAAGGTGGAAAAGGGCTTCTCTCCCCTGTCACTGGAGGGGAGGGGACTTTGGAGGGTCCAAGTGGTGTCTCCCCTGAAAGCAACCCTCGGTTCCAGTCTGTTCAAAACGCTCAAGGCCGCAGGGCCTCCTGGCTCTTCCCTCCCCCGCAGCTGAGCTCATTCCACCAAAACCAGCCCCCGCAGGGGTCCGACAGGGCCACGAGGAGGAGCCCCAGGAGTCTCTTGGCTTGATTTTGCTTAAACCACTTGGGGCAGAGAATGTGAAATGGCCCAAGCTGCGGCTGGTGCAAGGAGCATCCTGACCCCGGCATCATTTCAGATTTCAGGTCGGCTGAGCCCTCAGCCCCGGGCCCAGCCCTCCAGACCGGGGCTTTCTGCTTTATGGGGTGAGAAGCACCCCTTTAGCTTCCCCGCCCCCCCTACTGGGGCCTGTCCCCGAAAGCGGCCCCTCTCATCTCTCCCCTGCTGCTCTCTCCTCCAGCCTCGGTTCCCAGGCCAGCACATCTGTGCCCCTTCCACCTCCAGGGGCTGTTTGGGGATGGCTCAGGGACATGGCCTCATGGCACAAGAGGAGTCAGAGGCAGAGGACATTGTCCCAGAGCCCCCTTTGATGATTTTGGGGGGTCCTCTGTTCTCTAGGCTCCCAAAGTGAGCTGGGAGGGAGGGGTCTCTGCAGGTGTACACCCCCTGCCTCCCAGACAGGACAGAAAGGCTGAGTCATGCCCAGTCCAGGGAGGGGAGGCTGAGGCTGTCTGGGTGGAGGTGGGGGGGTGGTGCTGGTGCCTGCTGTTGGGGGCCTCAGGAGGGTCCTTCAGATCTCAGGAAGTTGGGGCGTACCCGCATCCCCCACCACCCTGGGCGACAAGACAAGAATAGGCTGATTGTCTCTCTCCTCTGAACAAGACACTTGGGAGTTCATGCTAAAGTGAAACCAACTGTGTGATGCGGGTTTGGGGTGGTCTAAGATGTCGAGGACACCAGAGCGCCCCCAAGAACCAGGAATGGCTGGGGGGGGCTCGGTGGTTCCCACCTGGCTGGGGCAGGCAGGTGGCATCTTGGGGCTGGGAGGTGGAGGAGACCTGGGCACTGAGGCTCTGCTCCTGCCCTCGCTACCTAGAGCCCCGTCCACCTGTCCCAGCTGGACACAGCTCCTTAGAAAGGAGGAAAGAAACAGTAACGAAAAACCACCGAACAGCACCGATCGGGCACCAGACACACAGAAGCGACACGGAACCGGGCCACGCCCCCCGCCCCCCACCCCGACCACTTTATTACAATTAGCGTCAAGAAAGAGTACATTAGTCATGCACCAACTCAAATTCCATTTTCTTTTTTTTTTTTCGCATTTTTCTTCCTTTTTTTTCTTAAATTATATTTGAACACAGAGCACAGAGAATAATAAATACTCTTATAAGACATGACTCCAGAAAACGAGAAACAGAACAAGCCAGAGAACAGAAAGATAGACCTCTGCCTCTCTCTCCCTCTCCCTCTCTCACTCTCATTCTCTCGCTCTCGCTCTCTCTCTCTCTCTCTCTCTCCCTCTCTCTTTCCTAAAGGACTCGTTTAAATAAGAAATCTGTAAACGCCACTGGTCCTTTCTGCCGCAGTCTCTCTCGCGATCACCCTCCCTCTGACTTTCCCTCTGGTCTCCAGCCCTGACATTCAATGCGTCTCCCACGGAACTCGTCAAAGAAACGACATGCCATCGTCTGCAAAATTATAATTTAACGGTATAAAGCTTCAAGTCACGTATTCCAAAAACTAGCTAAGGAATTTTTTTTTTTTTTAAATCACATAAACTATACATTAAATATTTTGAGGTATTTCAGAGAAAATTGTCAAAGGCTCGAAGGAATTGTGCTGGAGGTGTTGTTCCCTGCATGGAGAATGGATGCTCTTTGGTATGTGACAGCCAAGTGGGTATGGGGGGGAGGCAGGAGAGGGCCCAAGGGGCTGGGGGGCGGGTCGGGGATAGAGCCTTCTGTGGGGGTCTGGCCAAGTTTGGGATGGGGCCAGGAACAGGTGTGTGTGTGTGTATGTGTGTGTGTGTGAGTGTGAGAGAGAGAGATGAAGATATCTGAAAAGGACCCAGGAGTCCTGGGCCACTTTGTTTTTTTTTGTAGAGGTGGGGTCTTGCTGTTTTGCCCAGGCTGGTCTCAAACTCCTGGCCTCAAGCGATCCTTCTGTCTCGGCCTCCCAAAGTGCTCCTGGGCCACTTCTGTGACCAAGAGGCTTGACCCGATCTGACCACAGTTCAGCATAGCTAAAACGTTCCACAACAAGAACGATCCCAAGTCAAGTCCTAAATTTCCAGCAGGGAACAAAACTGGAGGCCCCCTAGTGTCTGACCCTTGGGGCCCTGAAGGCCGGGCAGAGGGCATCTAGGAGACCCACGCCCTGCCAGGCCCATGCTCTGGCCAGTGCCTGAGGCCCAGGCATCGATTTTCTGAGAAGCTCACTGGGCCAGGGCTGCAGCGTGATTCTCTTGGATCAGAAGCATTTTATTGCCTTTGAGAGCCCCTTCCTCCACTAAATGTCTACCTACCTGTAATCCTAGCACTTTTGGAGGCCGAGGTAGGAGGACCCCTTGGGGTCAGGAGTTCAAGACCAGCCTGGGGAACATAGCGAGACCCCATCTCTACAAGAAATCCCTTAAAAAATTTAGCTGGGCATAGTGGTGTGTGCTTGTGGCCCCAGCTACTGGGAGGCTGAGGCAGGAGGATCACTTGAGCCTAGGTAGTCGAGGCTGCAGTGAGCTACGATTGTACCACTGCACTCCAGCCTGGGTGACAGAGCAAAATCCTGTTTCTAAAAGAGAAATTTAAAACATTGTATATCTATAGGCTACCTTGGTATAAAAACAAATAATATGGTATGTTGAATAGGTCCGCATCTTCTTGGACCAAAAATTTTTTTTTTTTTTTTTTTTGAGCCAGAGTCTTGCTCTGTCTCCCAGTGGTGCGATCTCGGCTCACTGCAAGGTCTACTTCCCGGGTTCACACCATTCTCCTGCCTCTCAGCCTCCCCAGTAGCTCGGACTACAGGTGCCCGCCACCACACCCAGCTACTTTTTTTGTATTTTTAGTAGAGATGGGGTTTCACCGTGTTAGCCAGGATGGTCTCGATCTCCTGACCTCGTGATCTGCCGGCCTCAGCCTCCCAAAGTGCTGGGATTACAGGTGTGAGCCAACCGTGCCCAGTCACTGGCCTAAAGCTTTCTCAAAAGAAATTAAAACGTGGGCCCTGGACCTGCTGGGCCCATAGGCTACGTCAGTCTGCCCTGGAGTGGACAGGACAACTCTAGGTTCATCCATCAGGAACTTAGGGGTGGGGACAGGAGAGAAACTGAGGCCCAGGTTTTAGTGGGAGGTGGGAGATACTGAGTTGCTGGCACCCAGTGACACCACAGAAGAACAGGAGCCAGTGTGTGTGCATGTGTGTGTCTCTGCGTGTGTGTGCATGTGTACCTGCATGTCTGTGTCTGCTGTGTGTCTGCGTGTCTGCATACATCTCTTCATGTGTGCCTGCGTGTGTCTGCATGCATGTCTCTGCATGTGTGTGCACATGTTTGTGTGTGCAAGTGTCTGTGAGTGCCTGCATGTGTGTGTCTGCGTGTTGTCTGCATGTGTGTCTGTGTTGGGGCAGAGAGGTGGGGTGCTGAGCAGGAATGGGGACCATTTCTACTATTAGGAACCCCCCAACACCCAAATGTTCTAGAAGCATCACTCAGATCCGGTCGCTTGGAAAGCTGGGAGCAGAGCGAGTCGATAAGGACAAGAGAACACTCCATACACGTCTTTGGTTCAAGAAGAAGGCACTCATCGACCTCACGATCCTCTCCCTCCCTCTCTCCCGGTCTCTCTTTCTCTCTCTCTCTTTCTCTCTCTCTCTCTTTCCCTCTCTCTTTCTCGCTCTCGCGTTGGGGAAGGGGTGGCACCCGGCAGGCGGGGCCCTGAGCCGGGTCCCAGGCCAGGGAATCCTGTCATCCAGCACAAATCCTTGGGAGAAATCTTTGGTATCAGGCGTGATTTTCCAATCACAGACATGAGCTTGAGTGAGGTAGCCTTTACCTGGGGGAGGGGAGGGGCATTTCACTAGAAATGTCTTTTGCATTTTCAAGGGGGGTGGGCGGGCCGCTTCCTCCCTGGGAGGCAGCCGATGGGTGGGGGGATTTCAGGGAGG